AGTCTGGGCAATAAACCCACAGCAGTCTCTAAGTTGAGATCAAGCAATGAATATGAATGCACTCAAATACTTAGGGAACTGTTTTAAGCTGTGTGCTATTCCGTTGATGTGCCTTGTGTGCAGTGTCTGGACCGGAACGGACATCAGTTTGAGAACAGGCAACAACAAAACAACATGATGCTTGTAAATGTTTTTACATGTTGAAAAACTATTCAATTATAATAAACATCTAATTTATAAGTATTTAGAGTGTATACATTTTTGATGTGTGTAGTTAAGACCATGTCGTAATCTGTAACTCCTAGCAAGCTGAGAAGGTCGGAGATGTCTGTCTCACAGTTCGGAATGATCTTTGCCCCTCAGATGCGCAAGGTTTTCCTTTGGAACTAGCCAGGAGCCACTCCTTACCTCACACTCTCAGGCAATTCTTGGAGCATATTGGACAAGTTCGTTTACCCTAAGAGTTGCATTTGTATGGGTGGGTTGAGGGAAGAGATCAAGTTTCGAATTACCAAAGCCTCGGCAACCTCCATCTCTGGCACCTGTGTGACTTCAGGCCGAGTCTACAACACTACGGTACCATTAGTGTTCCTTTATGGGTGTCAGACCTGGCCCATTCGTACTAGCGATGTTCAGAGACTGTCAGTGTTTATAATCACCACCACATACGGGGGATCACTGGTGTGCGTTGGCAGCACCGCATTGGTAATGAAGAAGGTCGGCATCGGATTTTCAAGTCAGACACTCTGTGGACTGCTGAGCTGCATTATTTCCCCGTATATGGCACGGACATGTGACGCGTATGACCGCTAAGTGGTTGCGCCCCCGTAACTTCTTTGTACGTATCAGTGCTGATTTGACGCAACGCAGTGGTTAATACACAACTTGGGCTCAAAAAACTAAGGTGTTGACATGAAAGTTGGCAGTGGTTAGCGTTCCCTTTTCCGGGTTGGAGACTTAAGGATCACGAACACACTTGTTGGGAAACATTAGTGGATATGGCTCAGAACCGCACCCAAGGCGAGCATGCTGCGAAACAATCCTCTATTGACTGTCTTTCACTCTATCCCGCTTTTTACCCATGTGTTGTGGCACTCTGCTAACTGTACATGGGTTAAATGCTTAGTATATGTAGACGAGGGTAGAGTAATAAGTTTCCTGATACGCAGTACTCAGATTAGTTGCAAATGGCCTAGTAAAAAATGTGAAGTATAATCCTTTCTGAACATTGTACAGTGATTTCAACTCACGGAAATCTATAACAGCCGCCCACCACAGTTCACAATGCATAAGTGTCGCTATACTCTAAGTATAAAACTCAGTCGGGCAATGGAAGACGATGATTTTCAATGACTACAAATGCGGTTTAAAGCAGTATCAGAGTGTTGAGTGATTGCGTGTTGCGTTTGGTGATGATGTGACTTCAAGAAACATCGAGTTTGAGTGGTTTGTGGAATTTAAGGGTGGCAGGCGGTTCGTGGATGGTGAGACACGGTGTGATCGACCCGTGGAGGTCACCACCGCGGACAACATTGCTGCTGTGAAAACAATGCTGGAGGAAGAAGCGCAGGTGACTATGTTACAGCTGCGGAAAGTCACCGGGATCTCATGGGGTTCAATCCGTACAGTATTACATGAGAAAATCAGCTTCAAAATGGGTTGCGCACACTGGGTACCCCATCGGCTCAGTGAGGAGCAGAAAGCAGCTCGGGTGAACGGGTACCGCACCATGCTTGCTAGATTTGGTGGTGGACGTTCTAATACTGTTTGGGAGATCCTCAGTGGTGATGAGACCTGGGTGTACAGTTTCGAGTTAGAGACCAAGCAACAATCAGTTCAGTGCATAGCTATTGGTGAGGCCCCGCCTCAGAAATTCCAGAGTCAGCGCAATGTGTCCAAGCAGATGGTGGCTGTGCTCATGGCCAATGCCGGTCAGGTGGCTACTGTGTCGCTCGCACGGCAACACAACCACCGGAGACTGGTGTGTCACCCACAGTCTGCCACAAGTGCTGGAAGCTGTAGCCAGGTGTCGTCCAAAGACTCGAGGATGAGGGACCTTGCTGCATCATGAAAACTCACCTACATACAGGTCCCATGTCGTCGAAGATTTGCTGGCTAGAGAAAGTATCCAGGGAGTTGGTCACCCATCCTACAGTCCAGACCTGGCTCCGTATGACATTTCTGTGTCCCAAAAGGTCAAGTGCATGATTCGTGGGATCCGCTACGATTGTCGAGAAGCTCCAGTAGAGGCCTTTACTGAGCTGCATGAAGACCCGGTCCAGCTGCTTCCCCAAATGATCTGAACGAATGGAATTATGAAGGAAAGCTGGTGGAGAGAACCTCGAAAAAGTGAAAAGCTTATATTAGTAAAAAATAAAACATGCATCCGGAAACAAATTGCTCTACCTTCGTATATATATATATATATATATATATATATATATATATATATATATATATATATATATATATATATATATAAGGACAAAGTAAAGGAATAGAAGACAAAAATGTCGGTGATCAGAACCGATGTCAGTTCAGGAATAGGATGATGCAACTCTAGGCTTTGATAAGATGCAATGAAATGGCGTTAGTCGAGTGCGAGTTGTACCTGAACCACATTTGGCTGTTTGGGAACAATCATCTGGATAACGCCAACCACGTTGTCTGGATGTCCGATGCAGACGAGCGATAACCTTCTCTTCTGTATCAACTTGAATGCATTTTGCCTCGAGAGTAGCGTCTAAATAAATGTTAACAGTTACAGTTAACCGCTCAATAAGACCAACCATTACTTTCGTGAAAAAACGAGGAAACAGAATCCGAGATGTACTCTCGGTCAAGACGAGAAGGATTGGACACTGTGTCGAAGCAATCAGAGTATACCGTTTGAAAAAATTCGGCGCCGAGCTGATTTCCGCATTGGCCTACTTGTAGCGATAATACGGACATAAACTCAGGGATAAATCCTGAAAGTAAAGTGGAAGGGAAATAATGTAAGAGCGAGTGACTAGACCGGTACATTTTAACCCTTTGTGTCCTGGCGGTACTTAAAAGTACCACCTTGTATAAATTGTAAAATTGATTACGTACAAGCGGTATTCCTTCCGGTACTCGCGAGGATACGTACAATACCCTTCTGTCAACAATTATGTAAGCGATAGAATTCTGATTCTTTGCTCTACAATGTGCGACGTTAACGTTTGTGGTTCATGTCGAGCGCCATCGAAAATTGGTTCCAGAGAACTGTGAGTGGTTGCTCTATTTGTTAAAATGTCGTTAGTTTTGTTGCAGTTCGCCAAACCTATTAATTTTTATTCCTTTTTGTAGTGGACATGACATGATTCGGTATAGTTATCTTACAATTTTAGCGTAATTCGTATTGTACTGATACAACATATACGTTGGTACCCAAAAGTACCGCCAGACTTTAGGCGTAATATTGACAGTTAGAGACTTTACTGGGCATAACGATGGGGTAGAGCGCAAGATTTAGAGATTCGAACAATTTATTCCTGTAACAGAAAGCGATTTATCTAACGGGCATTAATATTTGCATTTCCAGTATATATATATATATATATATATATATATATATATATATATATATATATATATATATATATAAGGTTGCGACGTGTTTATCGTAATCTGTACTTTGTAGGTAGTAATGGCTCACAAGAGATACTTGACAGTGGAAGATATACAGGCTGCTCTGCAGGATCTACCTTCTGACGTAGATATACCATGTGAGAACAGTTCAGATAGAGAACGGGAGAAAAAAGATGGTGCAATCGGTTGCTCAGAAATTCGAACTAATGTACAGCTTCCAACCATTGACTCCAGTGACAGTGATGTGCCACTGACTGAATATGAAAGGAAGTGGAATAAGACAGTAATATCAAACAGTCTGCCCCATTCTACACGAGAGTTGCGTCCAGTTCTAAAGCATTTTATGGGATAGAACACAGCCGCTGCGATTTTTCCCAACGTACTGTCTCAGTGGGCAATGGAAAATTTAAGTTATTAAACAAACTTGTGCTCCCACAGAAGCACAGAAGAATGAAGCCTGGCGACATCGGAGAAATGTATGCATGCTTAAGGCATTAATTTTTGTATTATTACCATCGCTTACCACATCTAAAACAATACTGGTCCGGTGATGTGGACATTGCATTATCAGTAGTTACAAGAACCACGCAGAGAGAGATATTTTGAAATTCATACAAATTTGCACATGAACGATAATAATGCCATTAACGAAGGTAATGTGGGTAAACTTTATAAGATTAGACATCTCATTCGGGATCTCAATTCGGGATCACAATTATCAGATGATTCGATTACCTCATGCAGCGCAGAGTATAGAGGAGAGCATCGTTATCTTCAAAAGTCGCTCAACACTAAAACAGTATTATCCAATGAAAACAGTAAAACGTGGTTATAAAATATTGTGCCGAGCCGATATGAGTGGTTATATCTATGAGTTGAAGTGTATAAAGGCAAATCACAGGACACTCCTAATTCTAAAGATAGATTTGGATTTGGGGGTATTGTGGACAAACTTACCCAAAATCGGAAAGGGGGTGGTGATGTTAAAATGTATGATTAGTTCACATATGAAGATGAACACCATTTTTACCTGTGAAACAGTTTTTCCCAAAAGGAAACATCTCAAACTTCAAGAGGATAATGAGGTGAAGACTGATGATTTTGCTTATTGTTCTACATAACAAGGAATTGTGCTCCTCAGGTGGATAAACAAAAAGTGTATTCATCTGCTGTCCAGTTAACATAGAAGTGAATCCATTACTGGGAGGCGTAAAGAGTGGATTGGAACAATGGCCGACGTAGTTACACCTAAGCTGGTGCCCGATTACAATTCAGTCATGGGCGGAGTGGACAAAGCAGATTTGCTGCGCCCAATATATGATTATGATAGAAAATCAAACTACGGTGGCACAGACTGCTTTATGCAATGATGGAAATGACATGTCAATGCATATGTGCAGTATAAGGACATGCATCAGGACATCTCCCTTCTGAAGTCTCGAAAAATTTTTACAATGGGGCGTCGCCATGAAAAGCAGACCGGTGAAAAGAAGAGGTCGTCCTTCAATCCATACAATGCCATCACCAAACGAACCAAAAAGAGACGAAAAAACAAGTATGCCGTGCCTAGACATCAGAAAACCTCGGTGATCATTAACCTACATTTTTTCAGAAAGGGGAAGATTTGAAATTGGTTCCCCCCAAAAAATCCATTTTAGATTACATTCAAAATTTTGCGAACATTCGTCGCAGTTCGACAGGCAGACAGCACCACACACCCAGGAAAGCGCTAGACGGCCGTTTCGTCTTATGAAGACTCGTCAGGAGCGCACACCCGCATTCCTGTCGGCACTTACAAGTACCACCCTAAAAAAATGAAAATCTTTAGAAAGAATTAAGCTTTCTTTTTATGTTTATTATTAAAAAAACCTACATTAAGACAAAAAAGGAAAAAGTTAAAGGACAACTAATTAAGGATACAAAGGATTAAGTTGCAGAATGATAACATTGAGAAAATTGATTCTACTGAGCTGTGTAGCCTGTGAAAACTGCACCATGTCAAGGAGATCCGAAAGCTCAGCAATAATTTCATAGTCAGGAAGGGACCAGTCAGTAGGGTTGCAATGAAGTTGACTTAACACAGCGATCTAAGTTACCATAAACAAGGAAGATAATCAGGCAACTGCTCTGTTCGCTTGCAGTGCGAAGGTAAAAAAAACCTTTCTATATCGAAGCACACCACGTAATTAGGTAATGCAAAAGTATTGAGCGTGATTATCCGACTGGTGTGGTGGAGTTCATAAGTTAAAAGTTATTCTAAAAGGAGTTCGCAGGCACAAAACAAAAGGTGATCAGAACAAGCGTCAACAGACAAAACCCACCATAGCCCAGGATGCAAAATATCCACCAGTTAAAACACTATCCTGCTATACGTAACGCGATTAACTGTAAAGCCGAAGTGAAGTACGCCATCAACCAAAACGTGTCGCATAAATAACAACAGCAGCAAATCAGCCGCCTGCATTGATGCTTCGCTACCTCACAAACACGATGGCATAGGGAACGAAAAATAATAAAAGGGACATGAGGGGAAACCTGTTGTAAAACCCTGTTGCTCCAAGCTAATATTCAGGATAAAGGTGCCTACAACTTCTGTCGTCAAAATACCGTCATAAACAGCTGGCTATCGTGCAGAGTTAGGGTAACATCGGCAAGATACCTTCCTTGCGGTTTTCACTGCCTGCGTCATAATTAGCCATTACCCCGCAGAAAGCTCAGCAACAAACACACTTTAAACAGGCGATCCAAATAGGAGACGGAAGCAGACGCGCCACTGGTGTCTGCTGCGAGCCAGGTTCAGTAACGTCTCAAGCCAAACACATGGCTAGTCAAGTGGACCCTGGCTTGAAAAGCGTGACGGCCTAACGACACGGGCTTTGGTCTTCATTGGGTTTTTTTTCCCGCTGCCAAATCAATTTTCGCCCACCACGGGCCTTAAGCCACCCTACCTCTGGCAAACAAAACAAGACCCTCCTCGGTAATTGGTGACCGGGAATATGTAGTATGTGCCCAAGCCAACGCAACTTATTCAGCGTTAGCTGTTGTTCTAAGGAACTAGTATGATTATCACTGCCTAGTATCCGCCTATACACATCATCGTTACGGACACCCCTGTGCCATCCGACATCAGCAATGCTCCGCAGACAACGATGATCAAAGACTTGAGGACGCCTCAGATCCTCTGACAGAGGGTAGGACGGCCCTTACTGTGGCCTTGTAAACACGGCCTTTCAGACTGTACGAAAAACCCCTTTCTGACGCCACGGATTCAAGAAGGCAGTTCTGGCTTTTGCAATACGTGCAATGAATTCATTGGTTATGCGCCCATCGTTGCTGATGCAGCTGCCAAGGTGTGTGAATTGAACAACTACATCGAGTTCCTCGCTATCAAGGGTCAAGGGGTGATGAAATGGCTGGTGATCCTGTAACAACATTTTGCACTTTGTAGGTGCGAGGCGCATGCCAATTGATGAGATTACTCTAGAGAGGTTATACAGGATTGACTGGGTCGCTCTAAAATCATTAAACATCATACCGCATTAACGCTTTTTCACTCACTCACCTGGTTTTTACCTAACGCATCATGACCAGCTCATTTTACATTCCAGCTCATGTAGTTCCGTTTCTAGACCAGTAAAACACATCCCTCCGTCTCCGAGTTATCCAGTTGATTGTTTCATCTTCCTTAAACGTATCAATTTGCCAGTTTAACATTTCCATGGATAGCTATTTTCATCCAGACAAATTCGATACCGATCTAAATGCATCTGACACTTCTAAGCAATGACCCTATTTGTTTCGAATATTCGACGCCTTTTTAAAAGCAGTTCAATCTGTTGGACTGGACAATCTGCTCGTTAACTTACCCCTTCAGACTATGAACATATTTTCGAGTACAGAACAGTCGAAGAGTCGTTACATTTCTTCAACCTCTGTATGTGCGCTCTAAGAATGTGGTTTCTACTCGATATTTTCTAACCATGTGCAAGCAAGAGTGTGGGTTGAGAACCGATCAATTCATGCGAAACATCAAGCCGTCGGCAAAGGACTGTGATTTTCGTTCTGTGCCAGCGGAAAAATATCACGAAGATGCTATCCGCGATGCTTTTATAACTAGATCACAGTCAAACAGCCCTCGAAAGAGAATCCTGGAATGGTTTTAAAATTTCAAAGTGCTCTCGTTTTCGTGCTGCTCACAAGGACTCCGTTGCGCCCGCACTACTAAAGGATGGTGGTGAGCTCCTCTGCAAAACACCGACCTCCCTGTACGAACAGTTCTGGAAGGAAGAGCCATCCCAGCTAATTCGAGTGAACCGATTATAGTAGCAATATACAAGAAGGCAGTTTGTCCTAACCGCAGAGGTGAAAAAAATAAAAATAATAGTTGCTTCACTGCGGAACAGGAATCCAGGATAGGGGAACAACAAGCAGTCTTCCGACTACAGCAGGTCTGTATAGAGATGTTGACTCATCGGCAGGTGCTAGAC